CAACCCCAGGAAAATAGTTTTGTATAATCATAGATCAGCAATAGAAAATCAAATTCATTTATGTTGTTGTATTTAAACTTTTCTTGTCAAGAAAACTAAAACAGCAACACAGGATATATATGTTAACCACTGTCCAAGTCTCCCATCATCGGGGACAAATTTATAATAAAAACTGACCACTTTCCCCGCTAAACCTTCCGCCCCTCCCCGATTGGGGGCAGGGATTTACATTGACTGGTGCATAACTAGATGATTGCATGAAGCATTGCATGGAAGTTGATTTATAATTAGTTTATGAATAAACTCACACTTTCATTATAATGGTTGATCGAATATATCAAATGCATTTGATTGGTTGATGGTCCCTTAATGGTAATCAAATCTGAACCTATATAATGTCAATATGCTGGAAAAGTATCAAATTAAATTTTAATTGTCAATGTTGTGGGAAGTAAATAAATCAAACAATTCTGTTTGTTTCAACTAACTAGTTCACTATCACTTTGGTTTTCAAATCAAAGAATCTTTAGCCTGGTTGAGCTTTTGAAAAAGTAGCTGCTTGATTAAACGCAAGATTATTTTACTCTGTCTAATGCCAGACAATTTCACTTGTCAAGGGGAAAGTGCTGCCACTCAGTGAACTCAATCAGAGCTCAATGAGCAGCAGCACTCTCCCTCGATAAGTAAAATCATCTGGCATTAGATGAAGTGAAATAAACTAGTAAAGCAGGGTGCATTGGGGCACAATGCAGCTTACTGGGTTAACTGGAAAATATATTTATTAAACAATACACACCCTATACTTGTATTTCAATTCACAACATGATTTGGTATGCTTATGTCTATTTGACCCAAGTACCTGACAGGAATGATATTTGAATCACACCTGTATTCATTGAACAAAGCTAATCTAAATGTACATTAATTGTACATGAACCATGTAAATGTAAAAACTAGCTAGAGCAAAAACACACCCACACAGCTTTGTTTTTTATTTTTCTTGAGAAGGAATAACTGAGACTACTGAGTTACAATGAGAGTCACTACAGAAACTGTATTCTGTGATATAGATGATATTGCTTTAAAGAAACTTGCAGCTTTTAGCAGTTGTGTAAGGGTCTGTTTATATTGAAACTGGCTAACCCGCTAAGTGAGACAGCCCGGTAAGTGAGATCTCGCTGTCTAGTTATTTTTATAGTACAAATTATCATTTCTATGGACAAGCGGGCAGGCCCGGTTGCCAAGACCAGGATGGAAATTTCTCCACATAAACAATCATAAGCAGGCTAGCCCGGTTGCCAGGATGAAAGTTCAAAGATACTGCCGCAAGCTATTTTTAACAACTGTCAAAATAATGTCAAAACAACAAAATTGTCCTGGTAAGCAGAATGAAATTTTCTCAAATAAACACAAGAGAAATCATCCTGCTTTAATACCTACCTTACCGGGCTGTCTTGCTAAGCGGGCCAACCCAGCTTCCATACAAACAGGCCCTAACAGTCTCTGTCAGGCAATTACAATGTTCTGATGTCCAAACTCTAAAGTATTATAAACAAGCAGAACAGACCACTTATTGCAAGTTGCTAGTATTAAGTCATATCAACATGTGATCTCGACAATATACAGTGTATAAACTAAAGTAATTCAGCTTCTACACATGAAGCGACTTTAAACACTATCCTTACACTTTATCAATTCATTGAAGTTTGTACTTAAAAGACATTCTATTTGTAGTATTAAATCATAAGACATATTCTATTCGTAGTATCAAGTCACATCAGGATTTTATAATCATTAAGTCATATCAACATGTGATCTCGACAATATACAGTGTATAAACTAAAGTAATTCAGCTTCTACACATGAAGCGACTTTAAACACTATCCTTACACTTTATCAATTCATTGAAGTTTGTACTTAAAAGACATTCTATTTGTAGTATTAAATCATAAGACATATTCTATTCGTAGTATCAAGTCACATCAGGATTTTATAATCTAGCGTCTTTGGACCCAAGTGATCTAGAGTTCTATCTTGTTAAAACCTATCCAAGGAAAAACAAAAAAGGGATATTGAAGTAATGGTGTTTTTGAGCCAAATAAATTCGAATATCCACAAGTATAAAAGCAGAACTCCGTATATACCGGAGACAAAATGGCATCATAGCGAACACATTCTAATGATGCTCAAATTTATATTCAGTGCGCTATATTTTTAAAAATATGACCCTGTTTGCTTTCTAAATACAACAAAATTACTGCTTTACCTTCTGTTCAAATAGTTCCACAGATAAATCGAAGTCACAATTCGTACTACTTGAAAAAAAAGCTGTTTTTACTGTAGAAATGACAACTTCCCAATATAATTTTCTATTGTCAACACTGCATTACACTTGTTTAGCTCGCGCATGCGCAGTATAAAAGATGGGACATGTTTCCGCTTGAGTAAGACTTCTGGTCCTATTATCTATTCTGTGACACAGCCTTAAATGTACGCGCATGTACCTATTTTTATTAATGGTCTAAAATATTCAAATAATTTACAAATTAGAATGATTTATGTAGGGGTTGTTCTTTTGCTAATATTCGAAGTGAGCCACGTATGTTTGGGTTGTTCACAATGTAATTTAATTATTTTTGAAAATAATATGTTACTTTTTGATATACGTTCTTGTTTGGATGTTGTAGTCGTGTATTTGGTGTCTTTTCTGGTAAATATATGCAACTGTCAGCATAAACAGGTTTGTATGGGATATATAGTACCGATGGCCACCGATCGATATGCGGCATGCCGATATGGCCATAAGCCCATAACTAAACATTTTATATATAAATCAGCATGAAATATTTGTCTGACTTTTCCAATCATACACTTGGATATATAAAATGATGAAGAGCACTTTGTTGCCAAAGGCCCAAAGCAACACAACCTTATTAAGTTGCAGGGTCCTCCTTGGAATTATCCTTCTTGGAAGAGGTTTTGACACTTGTGGGACAGTGAGGGACACCATTTATAAATTGATAGACATGATTTCTTTTGGTAAGAGAGAAACAAAAGGTTGTATTTTATGCATGGTTCAATTTTTCCAGTTACCATTCCCCTGCTGGGGAAATGTACACCAACACTTCCCGGGGGTGGGGAATTTTGTTGAGCGTCTGGTCCCGGGGGCGGCCTGTGGGGGTAGGGAATAAAGTATAAGATAAGGCATCGATCATTATACCATATTGGTTATTAAGGCATTTGCTCTATACTCTTTGCACATACTTGCCATATTTAGCTTGTAAATTTAGCTTGTAAACAAGTTTTTCTCTGCTGCTTACTGAAGTCTCATACTACAGGTTTCCTATCCTCATAGACATGCCCAGTGTCAGCAGGTGGCTGTGGCCATTACTTATTCTGTGCCCATTATTTATCTTCTGGCATACAAACTGGGTCAATGCCCAAAATTTACAATGTACCATCAAGGCTCCATAGCATTCCCTGCCAGGGCTGTGCCAAGTGGGTTTTGGTTGGGGGGTGAAATAAAAAATTTGGGCTCCTCCCATTTGGAGGCCCCCTCAAAAATTTTTTTTCCAGAAACCAAAGAATTTTTCCGGAAAATACTGGGGAGGGGGGATGCCCCAAAATTTTTTTCAAACACTAGGTTTACCTAATGGGGGCTTAAATTTAGTTTTGAAGACCTTTTCAGACCAATTTTCCAGAGACTTCCTTAATATTTAACACGTTCTGCTTTCCAGGGCCCCCTCTCTGCAATTTGGGCCCTCTTTTTTACTTTTCTTTGGGGGGGGGTGATCCACCCCAAGGGGTGGCGTGGCCCTGTTTCCTGCCTTGCAGGTACCGCTAGTAAAATTGTAATATTTTTAATATGTCCTAGGTTACTATCCCAAGGTTCCACTCCCTCTAATCTTCAGTGAATGCCACTAAGAGAAAACAAGATAAAATGTTATTAATTAATTTAATGACATGACACATTTAAATATAAATGTAATCATTAATTGTTTTACTGTAAATCCAAGATGATTTTTATCATTAGCTGGATTCAATTATTAACTGTTAACCTTTTCATTAAATAAATGTCTAGGTGGCTGCACTCAGAAGTGATGATGACAGTTGCTTCCCTGATGAGTAAGCATTTTAAGAGTTCTCAATTGGTTATTTAAATTAGAGCTGTGTGGTTCCAGAAATTTGATCTCGGTTCCAGTCTTTAGGAGGATGAAAGAATCTCTGTTTGGTATCTGTATTTTCAAGAGAAGATTTGTGAGGTCGGACTCGGCAGGTACAAAACGCAGGTTGCAGGTTGGAATTTTGCAGGTTGGGAATTTTGCAGGTTGGAATTTTGCAGGTTGGGAATTTTGCAGGTTGGAATTTTGCAGGTCGCCAGGAATTTTGCAGGTTGATGATGCAAACTTAAAATTACACCACTATAAAGTATTCTAGTATAATTTAATAGTGTACTGATTGCAGTCTGACTCCTTGTCGGCACTTTTAATATCAGCCTATCCTGCTACCATGTTCCTAGCTTCTGCTCTAAGGAGTGGCCATCACCCTTGTGAAAACATTCAAAATGACCAGATTGGCTTGGACCTTCAGGGGGACGGATGTTTTGATTGTTGCGAGGAGCCAACATGACGTGGTGGCAGTTCAGAAAATGCCTGAATGAGGTGTCTCTCTTCTGCACCCACTTATAAGAAGCCCATTCAAGCCCCCAATTACCATATCATTAGTCGAGAGTTAGTTAACTTTTAACAATATTCTAGTATAAACGCCGCCAGGTCATGTAGGCACCTCGCCACAATCAAAACATTCGTTTCCCTGTAGGTTCAAGCCAATCTGGTCATTTTGAATGTTTTTACGGTGATGGCCACTAGCCTTAGTGCAGAGGCTAGGAACATGGCAACAGGGTAGGCTGATTAGCTGATATCAAAAGCGCCGACAAGGAGTCAGACTGCAATAAATGCACAACTAAGTTATACTAGAATACTAAAAAAGTGGTGTAATTTTAAGTTTGCATTATCAACCTGCAAAGTTCCTGGCAACCTGCAAAACTCCAACCTGCAAAATCCCCAACCTGCAAAATTCCAACCTGCAAAATACCCAACCTGCAAAATTCCAACCTGCAAAATTCCCAACCTGCAAAATTCCAACCTGCAACCTGTAACCTGCGTTTTGTACCTGCCGGGTCGGACTCAGCATCTAGTTTGACAAATGGAAATGCATATATATTTCTTTGTTTAATTTCTTTGTTCTTCAACCTCCATATAATTTAATCATTTTGATCACTACACATGCAATTGTGCAGGGCCGTAGGAAGCTCTTTTTGATTGGGGGCCCCCCAGGGCCGTAGGAAGCTCTTTTTGATTGAGGGCCGAAGGCAGGCCCAAGGAAATTTTTAAATTTAGAGTTCTAAAATGCCATTTCCTCGACTTTGGGGAAGACGGTTTGACAGAATTCTGATAGTCAGAAAACAGCATTTTAGTATGTTGAAATTTACAATTTAGTAGTACTAAATGAGCGAAGGCATATTATAAGTTGCAGGAAAGTATGGGTAATATCTTCATTCTTTGCAGTTTGTCACAGATTAAATGATAAAGGCTGCATGATTTTGAAAAAAAATTATTATTAGCAAATTATTGTAGGGAGTACGCTATTAGTTGCTATGGCCCTGTTGTGCAATACAGTACAAGTAAAATTAATATCTACTGTACAGGTGTGGCATAAATGAATTTTGCTGTGATGGTGAATGTTGTTCAAACTTTTCAAGAAACTGGTTTGGATGGTAAGTTTCAAACATATACATGCTCAGTACGAATTATAAATTGGCTTTAATAATGCATGTATCCATACAGTGCCTTCAATAATTTGGGAGTAACAAAATATGTTTGAACCCTATAATCTATGTGTGAAATGAAATACAGTCGAACCTCTATTAAGCGGCCACCCTCGCGGATCAGCTTTGTGGCCGCTTAATAGAGGTGCATGGCCGCTAAATAGAGGTACGCAAATAATGGATCCTGAGCGTAGTCAATGCTTTTGAGGGGTAAAGCTTTTGAGATATAAAGTGGCATGTGATAAAACTTAATGTTTAAGCCTTATTTTACAAATAAAAGCAAATTAGCTCGACTTTTATTTTCGGTTCTCATGACAAGTCGTTGCGCCAAAGTAAATCCTGCAGGCAGGCCGCTTAATAGATGTAAAAATTGACATAAAACATCATTAGGGACCGCTCATTGGGTGGCCGTGGCCGCTTAATAGAGGTGGCCGTTTAATAGAGGGATAGTTTATAGTATTTGTATTACAAAAATTTCGGGACTTTGATATGTGGCCGTTTAATAGAAGGTGGCCACTTAATGGAGGACCGCTTAATAGAGGTTTGACTGTATTTTCTAGTTTCCATGTTTTCTAGTATAACATCTTATGTTATAAACTAAACATATAATATACAAGTTGCTAAAAAGAAAAAGATTTATATAACTATTTAACTATTCATGCAAAGTTACATTTTTCCTAAAAATCAGCTATTTGCATGCTTAATTAATGCTTTTGCCTATTTACCTATGTCAGCAATATGCAAATTAGGTAAAGGCATTAATTAAGGGAGTGGTCATTATTTATGGGGAGGGGGGGTTGGGAAATGGGAGGGGGGGGGCAAAAGAAGTTTTACCCTTATAAATAGGGGGGTCAAAAAAGTATTAGCATAGAGAAAGGGGGGGTCATAAAAGTTCTTGAACTTAAATACCATGTCTAGAGTTCTGATTTCTATAATCACAAATAGCAAAAAAGACGACTTTGAAAATGCTATTTCCAACGATCTAGAGACTCAAAATTTTCAAAATTTCCGTGCTCGGCGCCAACCATGGTAGCGCCTTGCGATCGTGGGAGTCGGACCCACTAAGTTTAACAAGCTTTCTACCCCCTGAGTGACCCAGTTGTGGTATTTACATAAACATACCATGCAAGTACACTTAACTGATCAGATTTGGTCTATCAACGCACAATGTAACGCTGTATATCCAAAAATCTGTTTCAGAAAATGCTCACATTTCAGTTCTAGGGGTGGAAAAATACAAAACATTTTCTGGGGGAGAATACCCCCAGACCCCCCTACTAGTACATGCGATACCACACCAAACTTTTTGTCACCAACAACCATCTGTCATCTCTCCACACTCAATATAGTATGGTCCCTTTTTGTAGATGCCCCCCCCCCCAGACAAGTTCTTAAAAAAACCCTGTGTTCAAATCATTTCGCTGTATGAAGACGGGTCATGGGTTAGGGTTATGGTAGGACAAATGTTGCATTGCAAAGTAGTAACACATAATATATATTTTTTAATCATATATGGTTGAATCATATTCACCAGGGTAAAACATCATGAGCTAGATTAAACAGATTGTTCTAATATCTAACTTTACCTGCAACGCACACCTGTTTCATTGCTGTTAATTTTTTCAATCCA